TTCGACGCTTTCGTCAAGGGCGAAACTTCAAGCAGTGGACTGGTGATGATTCGAAGGCACTGATGAAGGTAAGTAACTCGATGGTGCTCGTCAGTAGAGACCATGCATACTGATCAGCTACCCTGATGCAAAAGATCTATCTTGCCGCGATCAAAGGCCTGGTTCCGAGTCCGCTCGTACGGATGGTACGGGCGTATCTGGAATATACTTACCTTATCCGGCATCCCATCCAAGACGAGGACACGCTCATCCGAAGTCAAACCGCATTGGCAGAATACCACAAGCATCGCGAGTTTCTGCGAACCTCTGGTGTCCGTCCTGATGGTTTCTCAATCCCACGACAACATTCACACAGTCACACAGCACGACATACGTGGAACTTCGCTGCTCTCCATGGCTTATGCACGTCAATCACCGAGAACAAGCACATCAAGGCGGTCAAGGAGCCCTGGCGTCGATCCAACCACTATGAGGCTCTCGGCCAGATGCTTCTGACAAACCAGCGTCTTGATAAGCTTGCGGCGGCTCGGGTTGACTTCGCAGCGCGGGGTATGCTCGATGGCACCTGTTACTCTGCTGCGCTTCTTGCGCTTCTGTCGAACAACAGCCCCGATCTTGGCGAAGGGGAACTTGAAGAGGATCCCAATGCTCCAGCGGGCGCGGATGGGAATGTACCGACTGCAGGTGAGGTGCCCCAACCTGAGGCCCCGGGTGCCAGAGCTATGGGCACTGAAGACGTTGGATCGAGAGATGCCGCTGCTCCCGCTGGACAAGTCGACGCTGTCGTCGATCTAGGGGAAGAGGAGGAGGAGGAAGGGGTGGTAGAAGGGCCGAGGCTTGATGCCTACGTCGAGCTTGCTCGTCGCTCTGGTGCGTTTAGTTGCCTTATTTCGTGTTCTATTCGATGTTCATTATGTGGCTGGTTTTCCGGCGGGCAGCTCCTGGATATCCTCGCACGCTGGCTGCTCTAGGGGCACACCTTCAACGGCCAGACCTCGCCAGCTGTGTCGCCCATTTCCTTGCCGCTCAATACGGTCTCGACCCCTCAGATCCGTCAACTGATCTCGCCCAGTTCACCAAACCCTCCATGCGCACTCGCGTTCACCACTCAGCGGTCGTAACGTATCACGCTCCGGGCGATCCGTCTGGTATTGGTGGCATGCGCCGTGAGCACATCCGTGCAACACCCACATGGCGATCGGGTGCTGCTCGCTACGACTGCGCCTTCGTCAACAAGGATCCCATGCAAGTAGGTTTCCGTGGTCTCTTTGCGGCGAGGATACGCCTTTTCCTTTCATTCAAGTTCGAGTCAAAGCCGTATGAATGTGCCCTCATTGAGTGGTTTGTACCTGTCAGTGACGAGCCCGACGAAGATACGGGTATGTGGGTGGTGCAGCCAGAGTACAATGAAGACGGCGAGTCCCAGCCGTATGAGTTGATTCACGTTGATGCTATATATCGCAGTGCTCATCTGATAGGGTTTTACGGCGAATCGTTTGTGCCCACTACTTTGGTTGCATCGGACTCGCTGGACGCATTTGATGCCTTCTTTGTAAACAAATGGATAGACTACCATGCTCATGAACATGTACACTAAGGAATGACCACACAGAATTCACACGTCCTCGGGATCGTTTGGTGCTTGTTTAAATACAATTTACGATCGACAGCAATGTCTACGTTGTGGGCGCGCAGGCACGATCAGCCGTACTAGTAAGTGCCAGTATACACTTCATCAGCCTTCAAATTGTGGCACTGGCAGGCTCCAACCAGCTCACGGCGGGCACACTGTGGTCAGGACGGCAGACAGCCACAGGTGACCCACAGGCGTCACATATGGCCTAGGCGCGTCAGAGCGCACCAGACAATTGTGCACTTTGCTGATGTCGCGTCCGCCAGTTTGGTCAGCGTGCGTTGGGAGTCATGAGGATTATAGATGTTGAATATGTGGATTACACCTGTGTCGTATTCCAGCGATACGGCAGTGATGTCCGGGTCGTTAACTGGGATGGCTGCCCACCCATTAGTAGCTATACGTGTATTGATTAGCGTGACTGAGCGGGTTCGTGTAGGGGAGTCTTTGTGATTCGGAGGGTAGATTACTCGCCACTGTTGTGACGCGCGGGTGTTCTTGAGGAAATCAATATGGGGCTCTTGAAGGAAGACGAGGTCGAAGTCCGCCACGCTGTGTAGGAGCGCGGACTGGCTGGTGTTCGACTTGTTGGCATTGAGCTGCACAAAGCGGAGGGTGCGAGGTTCACCGGTCATGTCGAACCGGAGGTGGGTGACTCTCAGAGGAGGTGCGCTTCCGCGACCCTACCGCAGCAAAGCCGCCTTCACGCGTCAGCGCGGATTGCCGTTGACCGGTTGTGTCCCGGAAGCTGTAGGTACGGGGACGTGAGCTCGAGGGTTCCGCCTCGGAATCGCGTGCCCGCGTCGGATCGACAGGCACCGCGTTAGCTCCTCGTGCTGGGGGCCTTCTGTCCCGCTGCCTGGAGCGCGAACGCGACCGAGGCCTGCGACGGTAGTCGTGCGGCGGACGTTCTCTACTCGCCTGACGTCCAGCCTCGTTGTCGTCCGACCATGTGAACGGGCGTGAGTCGTAGCGACCCGTCGTGGGGGGCGCGTTGTCAAAGGACGGTGGCGCAGACGGTGCCTCTAGGTGGTCCCAGGTGGAGGGGTCGTCCATCATTGGGAAGAACCGGTACTGCTCGAGCGTGTTAGCTCGTTGAATCTTACGCGTCGCGTCCATGAACGCCGGGCAGGCTCGGTTCCAGGATGTGTGGCCATCTGAGGCACAGTTGACGCAGTACCTGTGTTCGGACGTGCAACCGTGCGTAGTGTGTTCCCCGCCGCAGGTGCCACAGATGTCGTGCTTTGAGTTGCAGTCACGAGCGAGGTGGCCCGGTTCAATCCTCTGGCACCGTAGGCAGCGGCGTGCCTCCTTGCGTAGCTTCTCCACCGGGAGTCGTTGGCCCATGACTGAGAGCCCGCGCATGATGATGGCATTTGCGCGTTGCGGGCTGCCTAGCTTAAGGATTAGGTGGGCTCGCTGTTGCCCATGACGCCGCTTGTCGACGGGTTTGATCCAGTGGGCCGCTATAATATCGCCGCGGTTCCAGTCGTTCTCGCGTTCCAGGTCGCGTAGGGAGGGCTCGTGGTCAGGCCGGAAGTATACCGGTGTGTTACGTACCAAGCACGCGTAGTGCTTCGCGCGGATGCTCGCGTCGTGGCCAAAGCGGTCGGTGAAGGGCTTCATGTTCTCCGGCTTCTGGAGCCAGGCGGCGCCTTCCTTCGTGTTGAGTTCGTACAAGAGGTTCCCACTGCGTAGACGTTTCATCGTTAAGAAACGGAGGCCGTCTGGGGGTGGGAATCCGTCAGCCTTCATCAGGTCGAGGGCCATCGTAGCTTTCTGTATGTAGACCTGCTCGGAGAGGGCTTCTGCAGGTTCCGCGTTCTCTCCCGGGCCTGCACGAACGCTGATAAGGATTTGTCGGAATTGCGCGTCTTGGCGTACGACCGAGGTGGCGTGTGATGTTGGTAGAATATGCATCACTGTGGCGGCGTACGTCGGGCGCGCCTCGTTAGTCGCGGCCGGTGGCGGGGGTGGGGGGTTACGGGCTGCGTCTGCCAAAAGAGCCGTGGCCGCAGCGAGTTGCTCTAGGGACTGCGTCAGTTCCCCTTTAAGGTCTCGTACTCCCTCTAGCTCTTTCTTGAGCTGAGTCTGCCCGTTCGCGAGGCTCTGTGTCTCCTTTGTCAGCTTGGCCATCATACCTGACAGCTCCGTGTTGAGCTGTTGTTGTCCATCCAGTAGTTCGTCTTGTCGTTTCTGCTGTGTCTTCCCTGCTTCCGTCATCTCGCATAGGTCCTCGT